CCACTGGGGCTCAGTGGTCCAATGGAAGCATCTCCTGGGTCCCATCTCGCTGCATGCAAGTTTGACAATTGCTCTGTTCCTTTGCCTCAGGGTGACAATCACCGGTTCTGCCTCACTCATGCTGCCTGTTGGGTTGGTGACACCTTCGACACCGACGTTTCCAGGCTCCGGGTTCCTTTGGGTACTTCGACCCCATCTTTCTGGAGGTTTTCGGCCTCCCGCATCCCTCCTCATGAGGTGCAGAGGCTACTTCCTACGCGACCCGGATTACGCCTCGATAATAGATCCTGTCTCTTTTGAGTTCAGTTCTTCTTTTCCTTACTGGGTTCATTATGAGGTTCTGGAGTCATCCTGGTTGGTAGACTGTCCGATCTTTTCGTTGGGGGGCATGACATACGCAGGCGATGAGTCACAATAACGTGGATAAAGTATGTTGACCAGACCACACACTAGAAGGTGAAGGGACGACGACGTTTCGGTCCGTCCTGGACCATTCTCGGTTGGCAATTAAAGCAATCGACTTGAGACTGGTCCAGGACGGACCGAAACGTCGTCGTCCCTTCACCTTCTAGTGTGTGGTCTGGTCGGTATGACATACGTTTTGTCAGGCGCGCATGCTTGAGTGGTGAGAGGCTCTTACCATTGTTCAGGTCTACATGGGGGCAAGTTTGAATGCCTCAATGTGTGTTTCTTCCGTGGGACATCAGCCAGGTGCAGCTTCAAGGGCAGGTTCCCTCCCTTTTGGCGGCTCTGGTAGGTGAGGACTTGCTCGCCCATGGCCATTTGGCTTTGGTTCTGCATTTCTTTTCCATTCTTGAGCTGTCTTCGGACTAGCTTGAGGAGGATGTGGAGGCACTGTATGCCGATAATGGGTTTGGTACGCTGGTCTCGGGGGTGCGGGCGTTGGCTGCGCTGTTGAAGCTGTTTGCGCCAATCCTGAAGGAGGCAGTGTCTTTGTTCTTTGCATCTCGTCTCGCCTGCCGTCAGGTGGTGCTCGCTCAGTCTTTGGAATCTGCTTGGGCCCTGGCTCTTAGGTTTTCTTCGCCTTTTTGTCCTTTGCTGTTTGCAGAGTCTGCGGTGGTGCAGTATCTGCAAGCGGCCTCTTCTAGTTGTCGTTCCATGTCGGACTTGTTGGTTCTCCAGGGAGCACGTGGGGGGGAGGTGTCTTATCAGAAGGGTCGTGCTAGGGCTCGGGGTTTCTCCCTCCCGTCATGGTAGGCCAGTGGTGCCAGTTTCGGAGTCAGTGCAGCCTTCGGAACCAACGACATCTGGTCGGCGCGGGGATCTCTGTTCATCGGTCGGGTTTCTCGTAAGGGGCATCCGTCCTTTCGCGGTTGGCCCATTGATGGGGGGAGGCTCGGGCTTTATGCTCACGCCTGGTCCCACAATTCGTGGGAATTTCAGGTTGTTTCTTGCAGCCTGCGGTGGCATTGGGTGGCCCTTCTTCCTTCAGCGAGTTCAGGGCTGGCGGGGCAGGCTTCTTCTGCGCTCTGTTGGGTCATCTTGGAGTGGGTTCACTTGGGCATGGTCAAAACGGCCTCGTCCCTCAGGTGGGTTTCCCACCTGTTTCCAGTTCCAAAACGGGACTGCGCAGACCTGCGGTTCATTCTGGACTTGTGGGGTTAGTCGAGTAGTCAAAAGTAGTCATCCTTTCAGATGACTACTTATTCCCAGGTCTGTCTTCTATAGGAGCCAGGCGCTGGGATGGTGTCCCTGGACCTCCAGGACGCATACTGGCATGTCCCAATTCATCTGGGATTAATGGACTGGCTAGGTGTTGTTGTGGGCGTCAGGCTTACTGCTTTCATTGCCTTCCAATTTACTTGAATCTGGCACCTCGGGTGTTCACATGCCTTACCCGGGTTGTGGTGGTTTGCTTCTGTTAGGGGTTCGGGTTCTGCTACCTCGACGATTGGCTGGTGTGGGCTCCCAGCCAGTCCCCATGTCTGCTCGCCAGGGATTTGGTTCTTTCCCAGCTCGCCGGGTTTGGGGTTCCTGGTGAACTGGAGGAAGTCCCATCTGGGTCCCTCTCAGGTTCGGTTTTGGCTGATTATAGTGTGGGACTCTCGGACCGCTTCTTTATCTTTCCCCTCGGCGGCTTTGCTGTGGCTGCGGTTCTGCCTTCGCTTGTTTCTGGGGGCTCCTGAGTCATGAGGCAGATGTTCAAGGGTTTGTGCGGGAGTCTGAACTTTGCTGTAATGGTATACCCGCCGGGTCGGGTTTGGCTACGTTGGCTGTTCTGGTTCCTTCAGGGACATCCCTTCCACTTCTCTCGCGAATTTCTGGGTTCAGCCACCGGGCGCCTTATGTCGCCTGCTGCATCGCCGGCTTCCTCTTCGGGTCTTTTAGGTTTCAGTGCCTCGGCGCCTATCCGAGCACTTGCTCAATGTGTTCACGGACGCGTCATCCCTTGCCTGGGGCTTTGTGATCAGTGCTCACCAGGCCGGCCAGGGGCAGTGGGGTCCATCCTTCTGCGTTGGGTCCACAGCACAGTGTGGGAGTTAGCAACGGTGTGGCGTTCGCTTCGGAGGGTTCAGGTCCCTCACGGATCAACAATCCGGCTCCATTCGGACTGCGCCCTGGTGGTTCATTGTCTGAATAGCGAGGGTTCGATGCGGTCCATGGCTCTTTGGGGCTGGTTGCTTCCGGTGACTCTTCTGCTGAGTTCTCGGGGTTTGGCTTTCCTGGCCGATCATGTTCGGGGAATGTCCAATGTCCTGGCGGACGACCTGTCTTGGTTGATTCCCTGTTCACCGAAGGGAAGGTCGATGCTGACTCGTTCATTTGGTTCTGCCAGACGTACAAGCTTACGGAGGTGGACCTCTTCGCGTCAGCATAGTCGAGGCGCTTCCTGTCATATGTGGCACCCTTTCCCAACTGCGAGGCCATCGGGGTCGATGCCATGAGACAGGACTGGTCGAGGTGGGGTTACCTGTACCTCTTCCTGGCCCCTTGGTGGCCAGCCCAGCCTTGGTTTCGGGCACTGCTTGCTCGGTATCCAAACCCAGGGGTTTTCCCGCAGCTCCGCCTCTTTCAGCAGCTCAGGCCAGTCTGTTACGTAACTGGTTCGATCTTTCGATCTTCTTTGGGTTAACCTGGTTTCCCTTCTTCCCTGTTCCAGGGCTCGGGTTGTCCGCAGGGTTATTCAGTCCAGCCAGCCTGCGGTCTATCCCTGTGCCCATGACGTCCGCAAGTTCTTTATCTTTCCCTTCTTCCCTGTTCCAGGGCTCGGGTTGTCCGCAGGGTTATTCAGTCCAGCCAGCCTGCGGTCTATCCCTGTGCCCATGACGTCCGCAAGTTCGCGGCTCTTGCCGCCGTCTTTGGCAATATGTCCTGGGCTGACATTTGGGCGCAGGGATTTTGGCGGTCTAATAGGGTCCTGGCCCCTCGTTAGCTTGTCAATGTTCCTGGTCCTAGTTGGGCCTGTGTCGCATTGGGTAAGCGGTTGCAGCCAGTTGTCTTGGCTTCGAGTTGAGGAGCAAGTGGTGAGTGCCTCCTGGGTAAGTCCCTCTTGTTTTATCTATGGTTAAGTAGCTCCAAACCCTGGACCGGGGTTATTCGGTCCAGCCAGCCTACAGTCTATCCTTGTGCCCATGACGTTTATAAGTTTGCTGCGTTGGCTGCCATCTTTGGTAACATGTCTTGAGCTGACATGCGGGCACGGGGTTTTTGGAGGTCGAACAGGGTCCTGGCCGTTCGCTACCATGTCAATGTTCCTGGTCCTAGTCGGGCTTGTGCTGCATTGGGTCGGCAGTTGCAGCCAGTTTTCTCGACTTTGAGATGAGGAGTGAGTGGTGACCGCCTCCCGGGTAAGTCCCTCTTGTTTTATCTTTGTTTAAGTAGCTCCGGGAAGCCGAAGGGGCTCCCCCCAGAAAACCAGCATTGAATGTAATGAAACGCCATTTTCTGGGTAAGACCTGGAGGCTCCACGGCAACCCTCCCTCCCTCCCATTTGGTGGGTTTTTGACATCCAACCTCAGAACTGATGGTGTGAATAGCTGGTGTGAGGGGTCTGGGGCTTCCCCCCTTTCTCCCTCCCAGGTAGGGGAAAGCTGCCCAGATAGCGTCGCAGTGACAGTTGTGACGTCATGCTCATTTGCTCGATTTTCGTTTGGGGGAGTTCTGTCCAACAGTTTGGCTTTCAGTAGCAATATTTTAACTAGATTGGGTTTGTTTTGTGGCGCCTACCTTTCTGGGTGCCTGACCCAGTTGATGGCAGACATAGAATGCTTCCAATCACATGGGTGTTTCTATAGGCCATTGCTCCTTGTGCCTCTCTGAGGAGGGCCAGGTTCTGGCTCGAGGTCCCCGGAAGGCCTAGAACTCCGTGTGCATTGATTGATGTCAGAGTCTAATATATTCATATCAGCCCGGATTGCTGCGCGGAGCCGCCGGGTCTCACCCAGAAAATGGCATTTCATTACATTCAATGCTGTTTTGTGTGTGTGCAAAGTTATGGTGTCAGAGAAATTATTTATTACAATAATTGAACCCATAAAAAAAGAAAGAAAGGCATTAATTGGATTGAAATGCTTCCTTCTAAGTGGCCTTTCAGTTGTTTCTGTAGCCACAGCCAGGGCCCACTAAACAACACTTGAAAAAATACAGAACTGGGATTGTGGATGTTTCTTCACTTCAGCAGGAAAAAGGTCAAGATCCAAGTTGGTACAGTAGATGTATTTGGGGCCATGTACTTTTCCTTTAATAATTTCAAAACTACTGTAAGAGTTCAAGACATTTGGTATACACACAGTTTTGCTGTTCTGAAGTTGAACTACTTTTATTTGTTAATTCATTGTTTTTATGTTTTATCATATTTTTGTCTAATGGCTTTTCCAGCATTTTGTGATTAACATTTGTTTATAAGACATGCCAGTAGTTTAAGTAGGTTTTATATTACCCTTGTTATATATTGATACTATTAGCTAACTTTCCCTCTTTGAATGAGGCTGTGAGTGGAGGCCTTGTGTGTGTGTTGATGTATAGTGCATGATTTTCAGATATTACTGGAGGCCGACAGGGCTTTGGCAGTGTTACGTAAAGCTCTGAAGAAAGACCGAGGCAACGTGCACCTTTATCATCATGTGTTTGACATATGTTATCAACGACAGCCTCTTGACTGTCAGGGAGTGCTGGCTTCTGTCTTGCTGGCACTGGCCTCAAAAGAACTCTCTGTGCATGACAAACACTGGTTTGCTCACAAGAGAGTCCACTTTCTTAGAGAACATGGAGATATAAAAGAGTAAGTTTAACATTTACATCTTTTTCTGATTGGTTTATTTTATTTACTACAAAATATATGTATTGGGTATCTAAAAAAATGTAATACAGTATTGTGAAGAAATGATGCAATGTAATATAATGCTATAGATCGGTAGTCATAAATACGCTCTAAGTTCCCTATAATTCAAACATGAAGGGGATGGGAATGCAAAATACCACAACCTGTCCTCTTATAAATTATGTCTGAATTTGGCCGTTTGCCCGTATGGAAGAAAATGGATGTATAATTTAAAATGAACAAAAATTGAAAATATATTTTAACTGGCTGGCCCATTAAATGTTGCTTGTTTCTGTTTTACTTAGCCGGAGTATGAGTATTTATGACTCGTATGGTCGCTTCAGTAAGATTTTGCCCCTTGTGTTTAACAACTTCTCTTCTGTTGAGTCTTAGTAGAAATCCTAATGGGTTTGTAACTTTATAACTTGTATTTTTCCCTGCACTTCACAAGGGGGGGGTAGTAAAACACCGGCAAAAAGCTACAGGCCGATCTCACTGAAATCACACATCTTTATAAGCATTTATTACGCTTGACATAAATTAAGGCCTTAACCACTGAACTGCGCAAAGTGCTTTGAGGCGCTCGCTTGGGGGTGCACAGAGTGTCTCAAGGGGCTCGTAAACAGACGCCATTTAAAAGAAAAATCGTGGGCAGTGGGCAACATTCCCGGGCATGAGAGTCTCAGTACTGAGTGAGCAACCAAGGCTGGTGCACACAGCATGAGCTAACAGCGCTGTTGTTCAGCTTGTGACCACAGCATCGCCTAAAAATGTCAAAATATATATGTATCTGGTATTAATTAGCCAAATAATATTACAGAAGAGCCTGACTGTTATAAAGACTGTGTACAATGTTCAGATATCAGTGAATAAATGCTGTTCAAGATGTTCACAGCGCTAGCCACAGCACACTGCCATTATTTCATCCATCTAAGAATCTTCAAACGACTTCTCATGTTCCTTTACAAAATAAACTTGTGGAAAATTATTCACTTACAGGATTTAGTGACCAGGATTCTGATAACAGCAGAATTGTGGTGAGAATTAACAATGTGCGTAATAAGGTGGGAGGAGTATTCTTGGTAAGGGAGGGAGGGAGATGTAGTGTCGTCTATTGGCTGGTGTGTGGCAACATGTTATTGTCTTAAATAACCATACCAGCTTAGTGTTTCTCTATGGTGAACACATATGCAGATGGGTATATACAATATGCGTGTATATACAGTAGTGTAATAACAGCAAAAACACTGTTTGATTGATCGTAGAATATAATATGTATGTCCCTTACCTTACCTTGAGGTTACCTTGAGGTGCTTCCGGGGCTTAGCGTCCCCGCGGCCCGGTCGTCGACCAGGCCTCCTGGTTGACGGACTGATCAACCAGGCTGTTGGACGTGGCTGCTCGCAGCCTGATGTATGAGTCACAGCCTGGTTGATCAGGTATCCTTTGGAGGTGCTTATCCAGTTCTCTCTTGAACACTGTGAGGGGTCGGCCAGTTATGCCCCTTATGTGTAGACTCATATATGTCACATATATGAGTCCCATAATTTTGAGCATAGCAATGTTCCACACAGTGATCTATATAAATTCCACAAATTACAAACCTTTGAATAATATTACAGCAAAAAACCAGAGAAGAAAATAATGAGGAACATAAAAATAATTGTGAAACATTATAGTCGCAGCAACTGCCACCCCACGGGGTGGTAGGGTCAAGTGACCCCCGAGCATTCCATCGCTCAGCGCCCATAATTTACTCAACTTCCCAGCTCCATCACAGGTAAAGTATGTTACATACCGTACAATATTTTTTTCTGGGGTGGAGCCCCGTCGGCTCCCAGGAGTTATACAGACTAATATGTAATTATTAGCTTTCTGGAATCAAAATGCATGGGGTTCTTGCCTACCAGGGACCATGAGCCAGAACCTGGCACCCCCTCAGAGAAGGAAGGGAGGGGGGTGGGGGTTGCACAGACAGCAGCGCGGCAACGTGATGATGTCATGCTCGTTTGCTAATTTTTATTTGGGAAATTCTGTCCACTCGTTCGGCTTTCGGTAGCAATATTTTCACCAGAAAAGGAGTTTGTTTTGGGATGCCTATCTTTCTGGGTACAAAACTCAGTCGATGGCAGACATAGAATGCTCCCAACCAGCTTTGAGGATCACCCTAAACGGTGCCAAACAGATGGAAGAAGTACTAAGGAATGCTAGAAAATTGCAAAGGGATGAGGATGGGAAAGGGTGGTCGTTAAGACGAGATCTTTCAAAAGAAGACAGAGAGAAGCTGAAACTGAACCTCGCCGAGGCAAAACATTTAAATGAGAGCAGGAATGAAGAAGAAATAAATTCTTTTTTCTACAAAGTGATAGGGGTAGGCAAACCAGTAAAGTGGTACATAAAGGCAAACCAACAAAATCAATAGAGAGAGGGGGAGTGAAGAATAAGGAGAGGGGGAACAAGTTCCTGAAGATTGCATACACCAACATAGATGGAGTGAGATCGAAGATACTGGAGTTAAGTGATGTAATACAGCTGCAGACACCAGACATTGTTGCACTCACGGAGACAAAACTTGAAGATGTAATTTTAAATGAGGTCATATTCCCAAGGGGCTACTCAATTTGGAGACGGGACAGAAAAATTAGGAAAGGCGGTGGCGTTGCTGTGCTGGTAAAAGAACACCTAAAGGTGAAGGAAATAATGATTGCCAATCCACAAGAAGTTGACATAATAGCACTAGAGATCTGCTATGAGGATGATAAACTAATGATGATAAATGCATATAGTCCACCGCCAAGCAGCACATGGTCAAAGGAGGAGCTAGATAGTAAACGTGAAGGTCTTATAACAATAATGAGAGAGATTATAGCGGGAGCGGATAACGATAGATCACGACTGTTGATAGTCGGTGACTTCAACTTGAAATCCATAGACTGGGAAGTATATGAAGCTAAAACAGAAGATTTTTGGACCTGTAAATTTGTAGACCTCATCCTGGAAACATTCTTGTATCAACATGTTAAACAAGCTACGAGGATGAGGGAAGGGGACGTTCCCTCCATGCTAGATTTGATATTTACCAGGAAGGAGGAAGAGATATTTGACATTCAGTACCTTCCTCCCTTGGGTAAAAGTGACCATGTCTTTTTGGGAATAAAGTATGCAATGCGTTATAAGCTGGAAGAAAATAAGGAGGTTGAAGCAGTTGAAAAACCAGACTTCAGGAGAGGACATTATGGTGACCTTAGAAATTTTTTTAGTGAGTATAATTGGACAGACTTGATGCTAGGCAAGGAAGTGAATGAGATGTATGGCAAGTTTTGTGAAATATATGATAAAGGCACAAAAAAATTTATACCAAAACAGAGATGCAGAACTAGGAAACAGGATTGGTTCAATAGAAATTGCGAGAGGGCTAGAGACCGAAAGACACAAAAATGGAATCAATACAGGAAGAGGCCGAACCCCCAAACATACCAGCGATACAAAGATGCGAGAAACAACTACACGGCAGTGAGGAGAGAGGCAGAAAGAAATTTTGAAAAAGGGATTGCGGACAAATGTAAAACAGAACCAGGTCTATTCTATAAATTCATAAACAACAAATTGCAGGTAAAGGATAATATTCAGAGGTTGAAAATGGGAAATAGATTCACGGAAGATGAAAAGGAAATGTGTGAAACACTAAACGAAAAGTTCCAAAGTGTGTTTGTACAAAATGAAATCTTTAGGGAACCAGATACAATAAGAATTCCAGAGAACAACATAGAACACATAGAGGTGTCTAGAGACGAAGTGGAAAAAATGCTCAAGGAGCTCGGTAAGAACAAAGCAGCTGGCCCAGATGGCGTTTCACCATGGGTTCTGAGAGAATGTGCATCTGAGCTCAGCATTCCACTTCACCTGATCTTTCAGGCATCCCTGTGTACAGGAATCGTAGCAGACGGGTGGAAACAGGCTAACATAGTTCCAATCTACAAAAGTGGCAGCAGGGAAGACCCCCTCAATTATAGACCTGTATCATTGACAAGTGTAATAGTGAAAGTATTGGAAAAACTAATCAAAACTAAATGGGTAGAACACCTAGAGAGAAATGATATAATATCAGACAGACAGTATGGTTTTCGATCTGGAAGATCCTGTGTATCGAATTTACTCAGTTTCTATGATCGAGCCACAGAGATATTACAGGAAAGAGATGGTTGGGTTGACTGCATCTATCTGGACCTAAAAAAGGCTTTCGACAGAGTTCCACATAAGAGGTTGTTCTGGAAACTGGAAAATATTGGAGGGGTGACAGGTAAGCTTCTATCATGGATGAAAAATTTTCTGACTGATAGAAAAATGAGGGCAGTAATCAGAGGCAATGTATCGGAATGGAGAAATGTCACAAGTGGAGTACCACAGGGTTCAGTTCTTGCACCAGTGATGTTTATTGTGTACATAAATGATCTACCAGTTGGTATACAGAATTATATGAACATGTTTGCTGATGATGCTAAGATAATAGGAAGGATAAGGAATTTAGATGACTGTCATGCCCTTCAAGAAGACCTGGACAAAATAAGTATATGGAGCACCACTTGGCAAATGGAATTTAATGTTAATAAATGTCATGTTATGGAATGTGGAATAGGAGAACATAGACCCCACACAACCTATATATTATGTGAGAAATCTTTAAAGAATTCTGATAAAGAAAGAGATCTAGGAGTGGTTCTAGATAGAAAACTATCACCTGAGGACCACATAAAGAATATTGTGCAAGGAGCCTATGCTATGCTTTCTAACTTCAGAATTGCATTTAAATACATGGATGGCGATATTCTACAGAAATTGTTCATGACTTTTGTTAGGCCAAAGCTAGAATATGCAGCTGTTGTGTGGTGCCCATATCTTAAGAAGCACATCAACAAACTGGAAAAGGTGCAAAGACATGCTACTAAGTGGCTCCCAGAACT